GGGGAGGGGGGGATCGATGTGTGGCACGATCTGAGATGGGCGTTGTATCAATGATGAAGGGAGGTTGGGGACGATGATATTGGGTAAGGGATCAAGATGGCTGGACAGGGTGAAGCGGCGAGTTGTGGCAAGAGAAGGCAGTTCACACACGCACACACACACATACATACATACATACATACATACATACATGCATGCATACATACATACATACATACATACATACATACATACATACGCTTTCACTCCTTTTACCCATGGCCATCCTCACCATCGCCCATCGCCATCGTCCAACACCATTGCCATCGCCCATCACCATCGCCATGGTCGTGCTCATGCCGCCAAGGGGGACATGTGGCACTCGCACGTGCCACCACCACCACCACAACCACAACCTCCACAACCACCTCCACCACTCCACCTCCTCCTCCACCTCCTCCTCCTCCTCCACCTCCCCCCCCCCCCCCCCCCCCCCGTCCGTTCATGCGTGCTTCAGCAGGACCGCGCATCTGCTATGCGGTGATGTTCTTTGTCCTCGCCCTGGTGGCGTGGGCTTCCTCTCATTGGGCCCACAAGATGGCCTCATGGGTGCCCTCGGTCAACGAGGCGCCCAAGGCGCTGCAGGGCCCTGCTGCTGTCTACCGCATCCTCGCTGCCCTCGGTATCTTCCACGCCATTCATGCTCTGGCCATGATTGGCCTTCGTTCGCCCGATGATCCGCGCGCTTCCTTTCACTCGGGCATGTGGCTGGTCAAGATCCCAGGCCTCGCCGCCCTCATCGTCGCCATGTTCTTTGTCCCCAACTCGGTTCTGGACGCTCTGTCATGGATCGGCGTCATCTTTGCCGCTGTCTTTGTCCTCCTCCAGCTCGTGCTTCTCGTCGGCTTTGCCCATGACTGGGCCGATGCCTGGATCTCTGCCTGGCACGCCTCGGAGTCTAACGGGTGGTACAAGGCTCTGCTCGGTGCTACCCTGGCTCTCTACGCCCTCGCCATCGCTCTCACCTCGGTCGGGTACGCCCTGTTTGGCAAGTCTAGTAAGAACTCGGCGCCCGGCTCTTGCTCGCTTCATCTTTTCTTTATTACCTTTAACCTGCTCGCCTGGCTCATCATTTCGGGCGTGTCGGTCGCGCCTGCGGTGCAGGAGGCCAATCCGCGGTCGGGCCTGCTGCAGTCTGCGCTTGTGGCAGCGTATGCCTCGTTCCTTGTTCTTTCGGCTATCCTGTCGGAAAACGCGTCGACGCCGTGCGCCTACGTCCCGACCTCGTCGTCGACGAGTGGGACGACGTCGACGAGCCCGATCCACGTCGCCACGCTTGTCGCTGGCGCCGCCTTTACCATCGTCTCGGTCTCGTACTCGGCGACCCGGCTTTCGGTCCGCGATGACGAGCTCCGGCTCAGCGACGCCGAGGCCAAGCCGATTCTCGGGCCTGACGACGACGCCCGCGACGACGGCGACGCATCTTCGGTCGTTTACTCGATCTCGTGGTTCCACGCCTCGTTTGCCCTCGCCGCCGCCTACGTCGCCATGCTCCTCACTAACTGGGCCGTCCTCTCGGGTTCGGGTTCGGAGCTCAAGGTCAACTCGGGCAGGGCCTCAGTGTGGATCCAGATGGTCTCATCGTGGATCGCTCTCCTGCTCTACTTGTGGAGCCTCATCGCACCGGTCGTCCTCTCGGGGCGCGACTTCTCGTGATGTCAAGACCAGAATGCTGTGAGCGGCGCCGCCGCCGTTGTTGTCCTGCTTCTCGAGCCCGAGCTTCGCCGGCCCTTTTTGAGCGGCGGTTGCTGGCTCTTCCATGTCATGTCGGGCACAGGATCGATGGTCGCAAAGTCCATGCTACGACCGAGCATCGAGCCGCGCTTCCGCGCCAGAGCTTGCGGCGGCCCACTGCCGCCCGCTGGCAACCAACCAGTACCGCTCTGCTGCGGCGCAGCCATCGGTGGTAGTGGTGGTGCAGGTATGGGCGCCGACACGAGGGCCGAGTGCAGAAACTCGGACGAGAGCGCGCCTGGCTTGCGCTGCCGCTCGTGATTCGGCTTGACAATCTGCAGTCGCGCTGCTGCCGGCACTGCAGGTCCGGCTGCGCTCGGGCGACGCCCGCCGGTCCTGCCGGCCTCATCATCATCGGCAATGACGATAAACTCAGCTTTGTCATGCTCGCGCTTGCGCTTGCGGACCAGCGTGGGGCTGGTGCCCATCTTTTCCTCCAGCGCAGCGATGCGGGCCTGGAGAGCCGAGTCATGGGACCTGGACTCGCGGGCGGAGCGGAGCTCAGACTCGAGCTCGGCAACGCGCCTGCGCTCCGAGTCGCGCTCGGAGCGGAGACGGGCAACGTCATCGCGGAGGCGGAGGGCGGCGGCCTGATACTTGCGCTTGCGCTTCTCCATGTCCTCAAGATCGGCCTGGGCGTGCTTGAGTGAGAGCAGCCGGCGCTTGTTCTCGTTGATGAGGTCAAGGCGGTCGTCGATGACCATCTCGACCACTTGCAGCGCCGCGTTCTTGACGCCGGAGAAGCCGCGGTCTGTGGCCTCGTTGAGCACGGTGATCGCCTGGGCACGCAGTGTGTCCCGGTGCGAGTCCGAGATCGGCTCGTCGCCACTGAAGAGCTCGGCCAGTGTCGCCTTGATCTTGTATCGCTCAGCCTCGTTGAGTGCCGACCGCAGCTCGGTCCGAGCCTGGCTCAGCTGCTGCGCCCGCTGATCGAGAGCCGAGACCGCAGCCTTGTAGGCGCCGTCAATCTCCACCATCTTGGCCTTGAGCTTCTTGACCTCGCTCTTGACCTTGCGCGCCGCCTGGTGCTCCTTGTCCCGGGCAACCACGGCGTCGTCGCGCGCGGCCTCGGCTGCCCTGCACCTGCTCGCTGCCTCCTCCAGCCGCTCGCGGAGAAGATGCAACCTTCCCTGGAGCAACCCAATCTCTCCATCGTTTGCCCCAGCGCCTGATACGCCCGTCGTGTTGCCATCATCGTCGTCCAGCCCGCTCACCAGGCCCGAGAGATACAGCTTGACCAGTCGGGAGCGAGCGACTTGCGTCCGGCACATCGGGCACTGCGACGAGAACTCTAGCGCCTGCATCCAGCTGTAGACAAGGAGGAGGTGTGGGGTGGTGAGCATAGAGGGGGGGGGGGGGGGGGGCATGACATGGATCGCTCGTTCTCCTCGTTCTCCGTACCAGTGTGTGTGGAGGACATGGCCACAGGGCGCAGCCGATACGCTCCCTTCGGCCAAGCAGCCAAAGCAGACGGTGCAGTCAGAGACCACCACTCGGCGTCCGTCCATAGCCGGGAAAAGGGAATGGCAATAGTCTGAGAAAGTGACGCGGGGAGAGTGTGTGCGAGGGAGAGAGAGATGGGGGGGTTTGAGCGTGAGTGTGGTCCATGGGCGCGGTGGTGGCACGACCCGCCCCGCCACCCCGGGGCCGTCTCGCAGTAGAATCAATGACACCGGCCGCCCCGCCAACCGGCCCGCCGCCAACCCACCGGTCCAACCCGCCGCCGGCCCAACCCCGTTACTCGCCCAACGACCGACTCTCTCGGCAGCCGCTTACCACTCACCCAGCCACCTGACGCAAAGCCCAAGGCCAAGCCCAACGCTCTCCCATGGCACAATATGCACAGGCCGAGTACTGGGAGAAACGATACGGAGAAGACAAGGAGGCGTTTGAGTGGTACGGCGGATACGAGGCTGTAGCACGGGTCTTCCTCGCCCAGGTGGTGCCCTCGACGCGGGTGCTCGACGTCGGCTGCGGTACTTCACAGGTTCTGGTCGAGCTGGCAAAGGCTGGCTACTCGCATCTGGTTGGCATCGATGCCGCAGAGTCGGCCATCTCGGCTGCCAAGGCCCTTGCCGGCGATCTGCCTCAGATGTCGTTCCAGACCGCCGATGCGTCGGCCCTTCCCTTTGACGATGGCTTCTTTGGCGCTGTTCTCGACAAGGGCACGCTGGATACGACGCTCGCCGGGCCCAATGCCACTGCCCGTGCACGTGCTATGGTCGCCGAGGCCAGGCGTGTGCTCAAAGACGGCGGCATCTACATCGTCGTCTCCATGGCACCCGAAACCGTCCGCCTCCCGCTGTTTAACGAGTTCAAGTGGCGCGTCTCGCTCAAGAACGTCCCCAAGGTCGGCGCCACCTCACCGCTGGCAAAGTACACCATGTACGTGTTGACCAAAGTATCCGATGCCCCACTGCATTCCGGCAGGAGCACTCCACGCAGCCGCACTCCACGCAGCCGCCGCTACTCCTCCAACGCCGCCGACCCGTTCAGCTTTGCCGACTCGATTGGCTCGATCTCTGATCGCGCCCCGTCTGTCACCTCGCTCTCCGAGTTTGCCGACTCTTCGGGCTCTGGTCGGCGCATCTCTGGCGCCTCCTCCTCGCACCATCTTCGCCACGTCAACGTCTGCTCGTCGTCGTCATCGACGTCGTCACCATCGTCGTCGTCGTCCGCCTCGGACTCGTCGGCCGAGTCGGACGCGTCGTGACTCGATCATTCGGAGTAGACACGCCTTGCTGCACAACGAACAGATTGCCTGTGTGGAGGCGCACTACAACATCAGAAGCATGGCGCGGCATGATGGTTTTATCGTCGCCCTGCCGCAGCCGAGACGGGTCTATGCCTGCGCCCGCGCCCGCGCTTTTGCATTCGGCATCTTACGCGCCGCCCGCTCGCCCTCGGCCACGTCGCTCGGCTTGTAGTAGTGCGGCGCGACCTGAGTGAGCCAGCCTGGATCGATCTCGATGACTTGCCGCATAAACTCGCGCGAGGTAAAGACGAGCTCAAAGTAAACGACCCACCGCGGGAGCTTTTCGTTGAGACACGACTGCGGGTGAATGGAGACGCCAAGCTGATGCTTGACCGTCTTGTACGAGCCGCCGGTCCGCGACAACCGCGCTGTGTTGAAAAAGAACCCGGCAGTGACCGCCTTGCGGATGGCGACCTCGTCGCCAGTCTCCACCTCGTTGAGCGGAATCTCAACCCGGTCGAGCAGGTGAAGCAGCTGGTCGCGGATGTCCCGCGCCCGACACATGGTCCGGTACTGCACAAACGACTCCTTGCACCAGTTCTTCGAGTAGCCGGCCGCCGCCCACTCGTTGTACACCGCCAGCAGCATAAGATGGTCGCCGCCATCCTTGTGGAACGCCTTGTGCGCCGCATCCGCATGCAGAATCTTGTCCTTGGGCCGGAAGAACACCGCGTTGCCCGACGAGAGCATCGCCGCAATGGTCACCAGCTCCGAGACTACTCCGTATTCGGCGCCGGCAATGATAGCCTTGGCCAGCTGCGGGTCGAGCGGAAACTCGGCCATGCGCCGCCCGAGCTTGGTCAGCTGGCCGCGGTCGTTGAGCGCTCCGAGCGCGTACAGCTGCTCCAGCGCCTTGGTGATCGCCTCCACAGGCGGCGGGTCCATAAAGTCAAAGTGGATGAGGTCGTCGATGCCGAGCGACTTGAGCATCAGCACTACGTTGCCCAGATTCGTCCGCTGGATCTCCGGAATGTTGTTTGGCTCGAGCTCGTTTTCAAACGCCCACGCCGTAAAGAGCCGGAAGCACTTGCCCGGCGCCACACGCCCAGCACGTCCGGCACGCTGCCGCGCGCCAGCCTGCGAGACCGGCGTCACCACCAGACTCTCCATTCCCGACCGCGGGTTGAAGCTCTTCTGCTTGCAAAACCCGGGATCGACTACGTACCGGATGCCGTCGATTGTCACAGAGGTCTCGGCAATGTTGGTGGCGAGCACAACCTTACGGGCGCCTTTGGGCGTCGGAGCAAAGATGTTGGCCTGCAGCTCAGCAGGCAGGTTGGCGTAGATCGGCGCAATAATGAGCTCGCCCATTGTTGAGCCCGCGCTTCGCCCGCGCTCCTCCAACGCCGCCTGCGCCGTCTCGATCTCGGCCTGTCCGGTGAGGAAGACCAGGACGTCGCCCGCCGGCTGCGACTTGTGGATCTGCAGCACCGTCATGACCGCCGCGTCCAGGTAGTCGGCCTCAGGTGCCTTGGTGTAGTACAGGTCCACCGGGTACCGCCGCCCCGGAATAGCAAAGATCGGCGCCATGTCAAAGTAGTCAGAAAACTTTTCCGCGTCAAGCGTCGCAGACGCAATGACAATCCGGATGTCGTCACGGTACCGCGCAATGTCCTTGATGAGGCCAAAAAGAATGTCTGTCCCAAGCGTCCGCTCATGCGCCTCATCAATAATCATCACAGAGTACGCGCCGAGGTCCGGCGACGACATAAACTCACGGAGCAACATACCGTCGGTCATGTACTTGATCACCGTCGCGTCGGATGTGCAATCCTCAAACCGGATCGAGTAACCAACCTCACGCCCAAGCGTGACGCCGGCCTCCTCGGCCACGCGGGCTGCCACAGACATGGCTGCCACCCGTCGCGGCTGCGTACACCCGATCATCTTGCCGCCACGGGTGTACCCGTGCTCGTGCAGGTACTGCGGGAGCTGTGTCGTCTTGCCCGATCCAGTCTCGCCCGTCAGCACCACCACCTTGTGCTTGTCCACCGCGTCGAGAAAGGCGTCCCGGAACTTGTAGACGGGAAGCGAGCGCCGCACTTCTTGCAGCGACGCGTGTGCCTTGGCATGCGTCTCGGCCGCGCTCGGCGGCTCGGGCACCTCGCCCTCGCCCGCCAGCCGCGCGTCGCCCGCATCAACCACAAACTCGATGTAGTCCTCCTCCTCCACAAGAAGCTCGTACTTCTTCTCGGTTCCGCGCGGCGCACCTGGGCCTCCGTTGCCGCCCGCGGCTGCAGCCTTGGCAATCTGTAGTTCCTCCCACGCCTGCTGCTCCGAGAACCCGTCCTTGCTCGTCACCTTGCCCGCAGCCTCGCTCGGCTCGACGTAACGCGCCTTGAGAAGCTCGGCCTTGGACTTGAGATCGACCTTGCCCTCGTCGGTCACGTACGCCTTTGGCATGACGTAGCTCAAGGTCGCTGCCTCCAGCGCCTTCTTGCGCTTAGCTAGCTCCAGCAGCTGCTTCTTGATCTCGTACTCGGCAAGCTCGTCCGCCGTCAGCTCACCCTTGCTGAACATCATCTCCTCATCGCGAAGGCTGGCCTCCAGCTCGTCAAGCTGCCGATCCTCGCGCATTTCGAGGTACGACCGGCGCGAGATCTTGCGCAGCTCGTCGAGCAGCTTGCGTCGCTCGTCGGCGTCCATCTTTCGGCGCCGTTCCGCCTCCTCCCTCCGCTGCGCCGCTGCCGCCGCTTCGCCAATCTTGCGCGTCCGTGCCTCATCGCGCTGGCGAATCCGCTCGGCCAGTGCATCGCGCTCGGCCTCGTCTTGTGCACGCGCCGCTTCTTTGGCCGCCAGCGCCGCCTCGTGCGCTGCCTCGGCCGCGTCTGCATCGTACTTGTCGCCGCCGGATCCCACCAAGCCGTGCGCCCGCTTGGCCGTCGGTTCGGAAGCCGCCGATGACGATCCACTGCTGCTACTGCTGCCGCCGCTGCCGCTGCTGCTGCTGCTGCTGCTGCCGCCGCCGCCGCCGCTCTCCGCCGCGACGCCACTCACAACAGTGCGAGTGTGACGCCGCTGGCTGCGTCGCTTGCGCCGCGACGACGACTTGAAGCCACTGCTGCCTGTCGACGGCGACCTGCGGCGCTTGCGCTTTCGCCGCGCCCGCGGCTCGGCCCTGGCCACTGGCTCATCGTCGTCGTCGTCGGCGAGCAGGAACCCGTAGCTCTTGTTCTTCTCCACCAGCGTCCGCGACACGCTCTCGTTCGCCCGAACTGCATCGGCCACGGCCGCAGTCGTCACGCGACCAAGTGCATCGACCCCGGCATGCACAGTCCGCGTTCCGCTAGCCACTGCGCCGCCCGTCTGCGAGCCGCCCTGCATCTGCGCCCACAGCGCGTCGACAAAAGCCGCCGTGGCCGGTCCCGGCGGCAGCTCGCACGCCGAAATCTTGCGCTCCAGCTCCGGCTTGGACTTGGCCGCCGCTGCCAGCGCCGCCACATACTCTTCCAGATACGCTTCCGAGAAGCCGAGCAACTTGAAGAGCGAGTCCGAAACAAAGGTCTTCAACGCTGAAGACGCCATGGTCTCTGTCAGTCTGCCGAGTCGCAACAAGGGCGCGAGAAACGGATGATATTGGCTTCAGGGGTGGAGTGGGCTTAGGGCGTTGGGGAAGAGGTTTCGACTGGGCGGTGGCAAGGTGGGGTGGTGGGGTGGGGTAGAGGCAAGGTGTAAGGAGGGGGGGATTTGAGCGGTGAGGAGGTGGCGAGAGTGTGTCGGGCGGTGATCCGATCGAGATCGATCAGCCTGGCGGTCAAAAGCGTTCGCGATCACCCCGCGCACCCCCTCCCTCCCCCCCCCCCCCCCCGCCCTCACCACCACCACTACGGCAGCACTCTGGTATTCTTTCTGCTCACTGCTCTCTAGCCAGTATGAGGTATTTGCTAGCGGTAGTAGCTGCGTGCCTGCTGGCCGCTGTGGTGGTCGAGGCCCAGGTCCGCGTGGCCATGCGTCCGCGGTGGGCGCCGACGTCAGTGCTTCAGGAAGCAAGGTAGGTGAGGAGAAGCCGAGCGGGGGGCCAAGTCGAAGAGCAGGCATGGAGACCCCCCCCTTCCCCCTCCAGCCCCCCCCCCCCCCCACTCGAACTCACCTGGATATGACGCAGTGAGTTTGCGAGGACGTGGGGCGAGCCGGGCCTGGCCTTTGTCGACGCGGTCGCCAACCATTGCCCCAAGTGCGCGCATGTGGTGACGGATGTGCAGGTGGTGGAGGCGCTGTCAGCGTCCGAGGCGTACGGACTGGCAGGACGAGCAGATCTGCTGCGGATGGCGCTCAATGTGGGCGCCCATGCGCCTGCTGTTGAGGCCGCTCGCCAAGTGGCGGCACTGTTGGCTGATGAGGCCTGCTCCTCGGTCTCAGACGGCCTCATCTTGGTGGCCGGCGAGAAGGTCTTCTGCTCCGAGGCTGCCATTGATACCGGCCTGGCCGATGGAAGTTTGGTTGCTGCCGCTGGAGCGGGCGGGCTGGAGGAGCTGCCGATGATCCGCGACGCGCTTGCAGCCGAGCTCCTCGCTGTGGCTGCCGGCACTGCACCGAAGGCTATCATGTTTGGTGTCCTCGGCACACGGACGGTCTCGCGAGTCTGGCTCGAGCTTCGGCTAGCACTGGGTGACGAGCTGGCGTTTGGCCACGGCGTGGCGAGTGGAGGCCAGGAGCCATCCCGGCTCGCGGGTTACGGCGTCGAGCTTGCCATCAAGTCAACCGAGTACAAGGTGGTTGACGACTCGAGTGACGAGGAGAACGATGAGGGCGAGACAGTTGACGCCGACGCGCCGCTGCCGTCGCTTCCAGGGCTGGATGTGACCAAGCTCGTGGAGCGCATGCCGGACGAGGAGGCCGCACTGCGGGCCGCGGGCGTAGCGTTCGGCAACGCTGCCGAAATCAAGCCGCTCAAGAAGTGGCAGCTTCGCGATCTTGGGTTCAAAGCTGCGCAGGCTGTTGTCGACGCCAGTGACCCGCTTGCCGAACTTGCCCGCATTTCGCAGAACCTTCCGTCGCTGGCCTCGTGGCTGGCGCGGAAGAAGAACTCGGCGGCGGGGCTACACAGGGAAGTTCGCGAGACGGCGGCAGTTGCCGGTGCCGGGTCCACGGCACTGGTGGTCAACGGGCGGGTGGTCGACGTTTCCAGCACCTCGATCTTCCAGCTCTACACCCTTGTTGGCGAGGAGCTTGTGCTCGCCGACAAGCTGAGGAGCCTTGGTCTCGCGCCCGAGCACGTGGCCGCGGTGGCATCGGCAGCGTCACCGAACCAGGGGGCTAGCGGCGACTCTGTTCGTGTTGCTGTCACGGAAGTCAAGCACATTGCATACCTCAACAACCTTGCACGCGACGAGCAGTACGCCTCGTGGCCAGCTTCGATTGCGGTCATCACTCAGCCGACGTACGGCTTTCACCGGGTCCGCCGCAACGTAGTCACCCTGCTCTACGTCATGGACCCAAGCAGCCCAGCCAGCCTAGGTGTAGTCTTCCAGCTCATGCAGTTCCACTCGGGTGACGCACCGCTGCGGTTTGGGCTTGTCCTTCGGCCAGGTCCGTCGGATCTGAGCTCGCGCCTTGTCCGTGGCCTGCTGCATGTGCGGGGCGAGGGCGGGTCGGCCCTTATGTGGCAGGTTCTCGGCGGCGTGGCCATGCGCGCGCGTGGCGGCGTGCCGCTCGAGGAGCACTTTGACGCTGCCCTGAGCGCAGTCGCCAACTGGGACGGGCCCATCACCCTTGCGGACATCCTCGCATCCGAGGCGGGCGACGAGCTCGCCGACGAGCTTGCCGAGCTTGCGGCCTACCACGCCAGCATCAACATTCCGGCAAACACCTTTGTCATCAACTCGCGGGTGGTGCCCAACGAGGGCGCGCTGCAGAGTGTGGTAGCCTCGGCGCTTCGCGACGAGCTGACCCGGCTGGCGGCTCTGGTTGTGGCCGGCAAGGTCAACGACAAGGTCAACGTCTTCAAGTACGTCAACACCGAGCCGGACGTGCTCTCGTCATACTCGCGGCTGGCAGTGCCGTCTGCCGATGCGCCACTCCGTGTCGTTGCGCTGGATCCGTCCAAGGTGGGCCTCGCCATCGGTGCGTGGCACGGTGCCGAGGCGGCGCCGGTCTCGATCTTGGTCGTGGCTCGCGACGACGGCAGTGCGCAGTGTGTTGTCGACAAGCTTGCAGCTTATGCGGTATCCGAGCTTGCCCACTCGGGCAAGTTCCGGTACGCTCGGCTTGGTGTGGAGGCATGGGCGAGTGCGGCAGGTGACGGTGATGATGCCGAGCTCGTTGTGGTTGTCAACGGGCGGGTCATTGCTATGGCGGCGAGCACGGCGTGCGACGAGCTTGCGCTCGGCGATCTCGAGCTGATGGTCAAGCTGGAGATGGAGAGCCGGGTCGGGCTCCTGCTGGAGGGCGAGGCGGAGCTTGCGAGCGCGGGCCTGCGCGGGCGCAACAAGGCCGACGTGCTGATGTACGCCTCGTCGCTGGTGTTTGCGTCGGCGCGCGCTGCGGACGAGGCCCGTCCGGTTGGTGCTATCCGCTCGCTGGAAAGGGCGGCTGGCGGCGTGGTTGTTGGACCGGAGGCCGGGGCCACCATCCGTGCGATTGCCGTGGTCAACCCGCTCTCGGAGGCTGCGCAAGAGCTAGCACCGGTCCTCGCCCTCTTGCGCGAGTCTGTGGGCGCGCGTGTAGTGGTGAGGCTCAACCCAGATCCTGCTCTCAGCGAGCTCCCGCTCAAACGGTTCTACCGGGCAGCGCTTGCGCCGGCGCTTGTGTTTGATGGCCAAGGAGCGCGGCAGCAAGCTCAGGCGGTCTTCTCGGGTCTTCCGACGCAGTTCCTCCTCACGCTTGGGGTCTCGACACCGGACGCGTGGCTTGTGCAGCCTGTGGCAGCCAAGCACGATCTCGACAACCTCCAGCTCGGGGCGCTGCGGCGCGGCGACGAGGTGGCCGCCGAGTTTGAGCTCTCGGAGCTCCTTGTGGAAGGCCGGGCGTACCAGGTGGCGCCTGTGGGTCCACCGACAGGCCTCGAGCTTGTGCTGGGCACTCCGCGTGAGGCTGTGGTGGAGGATACGCTGGTGATGGCGAATCTGGGCTACTTTCAGCTCAAGGCACAGCCTGGGGTCTGGCAGCTGCAGCTCAAGCCTGAACGGCCATCGTCCGAGATGTACTCGATGCTCAACACGACCGACTACGGGCTGCTCAAGGAGCGGAGCAAGGCCGAGTTTGACGAGCTTGTGGACGAAGCGCGGCTGGCCGACGGGACCGGCCGGGTTGTGGCCGTCACCTCGTTTGACGGCGCGTCAGTGACCATGTTGGTGGCCAAGAAGCCCGGGTACGAGGAGAAGAGCCTGCTTGCTGCTCACGCCGAGGTCGCCGACTCGGGCCTCTCCTCGGTGTGGTCATCACTGACTGGCAGCAGAGGCGGCTCCAAGTCGGACGTCATCAACGTGTTCTCTGTGGCCTCGGGCCACCTGTACGAGCGGTTCCTGGCGGTGATGATGCGGTCGGTGATGAGCTCGACGCAGAGCAAGGTCAAGTTCTGGATTCTTCGGCAGTTCCTCTCGCCATCGTTCAAAGAGGCGCTGCCCAAGCTTGCTGCCGATCTTGGCTTTGACTACCAGCTCATTGCCTACCAGTGGCCGCGGTGGCTCCTGGGCCAGTCCGAGAAGCAGCGGCTCATTTGGGGCTACAAGATCCTGTTCCTCGACGTTCTCTTCCCGCTCGAGGTCGACCGGCTGGTATTTGTGGACGCCGACCAGACGGTGCGGGCGGACTTGCTTGAGCTCCACACAATGGATCTTGAGGGCAAGCCGTACGGCTTTACGCCTATGTGCGAGAGCAACCCGGACACGCAGGGCTTTATGTTCTGGAAGCAGGGCTACTGGTCGTCGCACATGAAGGGCAAGCCGTACGTTATTTCGGCGCTCTTTGTGGTCGACCTCACCCGCTTCCGCGCCATGTCTGCCGGCGACACGCTGCGGGCGACGTACCAGTCGCTGGCGCGCGACCCCAACTCGCTCTCCAACCTCGACCAGGACCTGCCCAACTACCTCGCGCCAGGGCAGCTCCCGATGCACTACCTCCCGCAAGAGTGGCTCTACTGTGAGGCGTGGTGCGAGGATGGGACTGGCAAGCTTCTCGACGCCGCAAAGTCCATCGACCTCTGCAACTCGCCGCTGACCAAGGAGCCCAAGCTCGACATGGCTGGCCGCGTCGTCGCCGAGTGGCACGACTTCGACGATGCCAACCGGGCGCTCCTCCGTTCGCCGCCCTCCCCTTCCCCTGGCGATAGCGATGTCCGGCATGACGAACTCTAGTCAAAGTCCAATCCAAAAGCCGTACTTGAACCGCATTAGTGTACGCGTGCGTCTGATCTCTGAATGTGTAGCCGTATCGCAGTGATAGTCTCCAGAGGGGGAGAGAGGAGGTGGGGGGGGGAGGCAGACGCCCTCCACTCACACCTCATCATTCACCACCCCACTCGGAACCATGTCGACTTCTGTTGCCGAGCTGCTCAAGCCGGCCTCCCGGTTCGACGTCAACTCCCTCCCTGCCATGGAGAAGATTGTCCGCGAGCATGTACGTGAGCTACTTCTACAGCCATTATTTACCACACCACCTACTCTCCTATCTACACCCTACACTAGCTCCCTATCCCCTCCCCGTCCCCTACTCCCCTCCCCGTCCCATCCCCCCCCCCCTTACACTGCCTCGGTCTGCTTCGTCGCGGGATGTTTTCCCTGTCGGCCGGCACTCTCCAGGCCACCCGCTCCCTCTCCCCCTCTCTCAGGAGAGTCAGACTCTTTCAGACACGAACATGGAAGCCACATGAGCCTGCCTACGTCCAATGTCCACCCCCACCACCACCGCCACCACCCTCCTTCCCCTTTCTCTCCCCCCTCCACACCCACACAGCACACCCCGCCCCTTCCACACTCTCCGTCGCTCACACACACACACTCTCTCTCTCTCTCTCTCTCTCTCTTCTCATGGACAACAGGTCGCATCGGGCGAGTACAATGTTGAGCTCAACCTTGCTGTGCTCAAGCTGTATCAGTTCAACCCGCAAGTACAATGTTGAGCTCAACCTTGCTGTGCTCAAGCTGTATCAGTTCAACCCGCAAGCGACCAACGAGGAGATCATCTCGCTGGTGCTGGCCAAGGCCATGATGGCTCTCCCGGCGCCTGACTTTCAGCTTGCTCTGTACCTCATCCCGGAGGCGGCTCTGACTGACATGCACCGCTCGCTCGTCGACCTGGCCAACCTGCTCGACACGGCCAAGTTCCGCGCCTTCTGGGACGCCTTTGGCTCGTCGCCGGCCGAGGACCTGCTCGGCTCGATCGCCGGCTTTGGCGACGCCATCCGTGGCTTTGCGGCATCGGTGGTCTCCTCAACCTTCCAGCTCATCGACCTCTCCGAGCTCGCTGACCTCCTCTTCCTCGACCAGGCCGCCGCCGCCGCTTACGCCGAGAAGGCTGGCTGGGCCGTCGACTCGGACAACGCCACCGTCTCCATCCCGCTCAACGAGTTCAACCAGGCCAAGGCCAAGGAGATCAAGGAGGACATCCGCTTTGAGCAGATCGCCCAGCTCTAATCTGACCTATCCATCGATCAAAACCCCACACACAACCAGACCTGCCTTCTGCACACCCACACCATCCACGTCCAAACTGTGGCGAGGAGGGAGAGAGCGAGACGGGGCGGAGGAGGCGGAGGAGGCGGAGAAGGAGGTGGAAGAAGGGAAAGAAATAGGATCAACATTATTGTCCCCCCCTCACACGCATCCATCGCCCATCTCGCATCCCCATCGCCCATCTCCATCGCCCCCCCCCCCCCCCCCCCCCCCCCCCTTTGTTCCGCAAACCTCCGGCAAAAAGGGAAACAGATCTTTCCCCCCTCTCCCCATTCCCCCCCAACGGCCAACCGTCATTTTCCGGATACAAGCTGGTTTAGAGA